GGGCTCAAGTAGAAAGCAAATGTTTTGAGAATGATGATGGCAACAAATGTACAAATGTGCTTGACACAATGGATGGATGTATGGATTGTGATAAGAATTGTACGAGGCCTCAATAAAATATTTTTTTAAAAATCCAACCTTACTTCAAAATATCTGTTTGAATTTGGACAATTAAGTTAATCTTTCAGAAATTCAGATCCTGGCCTGCAAATTGAAAATTACAATACCTGTCAACTATTGAGTAGATCAAATCAGATAATGCACATGAAAGCTCTTTAATGTGAAAGTGCTTTACAATTGGGACAAATTATTATTCGTTGACTCCGAGCCGCCCTTCATCTGTATCCACTTGTGAAAACCTTGGTGAGGCACCAAAGTCACTTTTTAAAGTAGGAATGTCCAAACTGCTGACTAGTAAGAAAGAAGTGGGGTACAAAATGTGGTAAGTAAAAAGAATATAAAAGATACACATTCTACCATTCAACTTAATTTTGTTATCCTGTAGCATTGTCTCAATACCTTTTCCCCCATAATAATTGAAAATAAAATGGAAACATTCTCTTTTTTCTCCATTTTGATATAATGGGAATGCTTCCCATAGTGTTACATATTTTATTTTAACATCATTTCATCAGTTGCTTATTGTGCCATTTACATAGAATGATAATACCTATCTGTTCATTCTTCGTTTAGTTTTGAAAATGTAAACAGGATTAATGTTCATAATAATATTAATGTTTAATGACTATAATTACATCAGTGTTTACAATTAATTAAGTATTCAAAGCTGCATGAGAGACACAATATTAGGTTTGAGGGTAAGTTAAGTTCATAGACAGGCTACGTAGATGTGAAGCAAGAGGGTGGAAACTGGTGCCAGGAGCGGCAAGAACCAAATGCCAGCAAGAAAGAGGCACAGGAGATGCATCAGAGACTGTGGGTCACGTTCAGGGATCTTCGTAACAAGGCAACATTGATGCTATTCTTTTGCATGAAAATGATTAGTGCTACAAAGTCCCAAGAAAAGACAGCTTACATGTATTCATATGTACACACATATAAGCCTCTGTGTATTCAAAGGGACTTCAAAATTTCCCTACAAAAATCCGAGCGTCTTAATTCAGTTGTCCACAACATTTTGGAAGGTCTCCCCTTATGTGTTAGCATGTATAGAATATAATTACTACCTATGTTAGTGTAGTCAGTCTAGAATTTCAGCACTTATTTTGGGATCTATTAAATTCAACTTGAGACAGGGCCAGAGCCAAACCATGTTTTACATGCCCCCAACTAGTTAGAATATCCCTTAAGGTTTTCTTGGTATTTCAACTTGTATTGCCACCCACTCTAAGAACTCTGGCTGTTTCTTCAAAACGTCACCTCTCAGTTTCCCGAGCCTCTAGTTGTCTCAGGCCGCTCTTATACTGGTTATCCATCCTGCACTATGTTCATCACATGGCAGCTATTCTTTCCAGAGTGGAACCCTTCAACTACCCCCTTTATGGTCCAGGTGGTGGTCATCTGCCATAGAAAATCTGATGACAGAGCCTATAAAGGAAGGGACTTTTTTACAAACGATTTTATTAGGAGCTAATCAAGACATCATACCATTTCGTAGTTCAATCGTATCAGGCGGTATTATTCAATTGCTACCACAATCAGTTTCAAAACATTTTCTTCCTTCTTGAACTCCTTGATATCAGCACCCTCTTATACCTCAAGACGTTTTTTCATGAATGATGATCAGAGGTATACAATTTCAGTTGTTTTACTGGCCGAAACATAGTAAGTACAAAGTCTTTGCCTCTCTCGGGGTCTTTGCATCCTGGGCACAAAGGCTGGTACAGTCCAGCAGTGACAGAATTTCCTGGGCAATTGATTGCATGAAATCTTTCTCTGCTTCTCTTTTGCTCTGCTGTTTCCCATCTTGCACATTGGCCTGGAGGCCCTGGCTTGCTCTGGTTTTGTGCTCAATGATCTGGTCCCAGAAGGAAAGCAATAACTTATAGATTACAAGAAGAAAAATTGTGCTGCTAGCATAACATTCCTCCTATACTGCTTTGGAAATGCTGGAGCAGAGTAGGACTTCATTCTGGTCTTGAGTTCTTTGCATGTCCAGGTGACCAGATGATTTCCCTGATAACCGTGATTTTGCTAAGAGAACACAGATGTCTAGAGAACACACAACCTTATATATTACGTAGCACACAGTAGGTAATTAAATTTTTTTTGATTGGCTTATCATTTGGTGACTACCTTGGTGCCCTCCTAGAAGCTCTTATTGACAGAGTTTCACCACAGTGTGAGAGCCTGGGCTTCTGTGGGTTAATATCAACATGGGGGCTGGAGTGCAGGTCTGCCTGAGCTTAGTAGCCTCCTTGTCAGACACCTTGCTCATTACTGACTCATTGATGACTCATCAATCACGGATAACTTATTAGTCACTACGTTTACTTTTCAGGCTTGCCTCCCATCGTCTTCTTGCTAATGGATAGGGGTCTTCTAAAGATGCAAAGTACAGTGCTGAGTCTTTGTTTATGCAATCTCTTGCTGAGGTTCCCATAACATAATTTAGAACTCTTTCGCTACGTTTATAAACAAAGTGAACTTGACATGGAAGTTGCCAAAGGGCAGTAAATTTGGAACATTGAAATGCCATTTTTACAGTCATATTTCTAATCATAATGGCCCTTTAAAAGCCACATAAAATCTTGTCTTGCATCTCTTCACCTTCACTTGTGCATCTCCCTGAAATCTAAGAGTGTGACAGGAACAAGGTTTTACTATCAGTCAGATCTGACATTGGCTAAACACTAATGTAAACTCTTGAAGTTGCCATGATTTATCTGTTGACAGAACTGTCCATAGCAGTGGGAACTGAGGATATGCTGCTGGCAGAGACCACTGTGCTTACCGACATGGGTGTGTGTGCTACTCCGTTTTCAAATGTGGAAGAAATGAGGTAAAGGGAAGAGGTCATATTCGACAGCTCACCTTCAAAGGAGTCTGCATGTCTCTGCTGTCACTTGATGACAACCATGAATTTCTTTCATCAACCATCTTGCCTGTGGCCTAGGTTTTGCCCTGCCCATGCTAACTTTTCCCAAACCATTCCTTTCTTTGAGCAGATCTGCTGCCTTGCAGTACAACCCATGACTTCAAGCATGGAATTCATTTTAATGTCACATGTACAACCACATTCCCCTGAGCTAACTCATAGCAGCCATATGATTATTTCAGTCAAATAGCTTGAGAAGCGCTGAACTATGTTCCCATTGATTCCTGCTGTCACACCTATTGGGAGAGGTTATGAGATTGTCTTAAGGGGAAGTCGACAAAGAAGGGGGAAATCCATGGACGCAAGCCCAGAGGGCTGTGGAAAGTGGCAAGGGAGAGGAGTGTGAGAGAAAACCAGCTGAGCTCATTTTCACACCCATAAAAAAGGAAATCTTTCTCAGCCTGGAGGATTTTAAAATAGGGCAAGACCAATGTGACCCAGGTTTCACTGTAAATTTATTCTATTTCTTGTACCTTTTAACTTAAAGCCTATGTTTGTCGAATTTATTACAACCAAAGCTTTGGAAATGGAGTGGCACACATTCAGGAGAAGAAGCGTTTAGAATTCTGAAATGCATTTGATTTGCCAGCCATAATTTTCCCCCCAAACTATTTTCAAAATATTTATTAAAGTGGATATAGTTTTTTAAAACAATTAAAATTAGATTTAAAAAGAAAAGAATGTAGAGTTTGGGGTATAAAATCAATGAATGCAGTATCTTCCTTCACTGTATATCTTAATTATCCTACTATAACAGTAATGGATACCACTATTAGCAATTAGTATTCACAGCATGTTAATTATGTTCCAGTTATTGTTTCAGTTATTTCCTTCCTCCAGTTTTGCTTTTGATTTTCATGCAATATGTTGTTGTTGTTATTGTTGTTAGGTGCTAGCTTGTCAATTCCAACTCATAGGGATCCTATGTACAGCAGAACTAAACACCACTTGGCCCTGCCCCATCCTCACAATTGTTCTCATGTGCAAGCCCATTGTTGCAGATGCCGCATCAATCCATCTTGTTGAGAATCTTCCTCTTTTTCACAGCCTCTCTACTAAGCAGGATGTCCTTTCACAAAGACTGGGCCCTCCTGACAACATATCCAAGTACATAAGACTCTTTTGCTAGCCTTGCTTCTATAAGTCCAATTCTAGCTTTACTTCTTTGAAGACAGATCTGTTTGTTTTGGCACTTCATAGTATTTTCAATATTCTTTACTGGTATTATAATTTAAAGCTATCTGTTCTTCTTAGGGTTTTCTTTTTTTTTTTTTTTTTAACATTTTATTAGGGGATCATACAACTGTTATCCCAATACTTAGGGTTTTCTTATTCGATGTCCAACTCTCACATGCATATGAGGCAATTGAAAACGCCATGGCATTGTACTGCCCCTTCCTGTGACGCCCCCCTAAGTAGTGATAACCCTTGGTTAGCTTTAAAGTTGGGGGCTCCTGCTCTCGCTCTTGGACTCTTCCCACAAGCACCACCGAGCAGGGCTGAGAAATTAGAGATGAACTCATCTCCCATTGAAAGACAGAACTCGCTAACCATACCTGCGGCTGGGACATGGACAATGCCCTTCTAACAGAGTAAGGTCTGACAACCAGATCACCTGTTTCAAGTCTGATCGCATAAAGACACTTGGAGCTATGCTGGTGGCAGCCAGAGCCTTGGAGCTGGAGGAGCCAAGTGGAGACCCACACCAGCGCTGAGATGCTTCCTCCGCCACTGGATCCACAAGACTTACCACCCGCTGGCCTGTGATCTCCCTGTACTCAGTGTCATTGCATGTGTTGTGGGAGAGCACAAACGCAGTCCCCCACTACCACAAATTATGCAGCCAAGTTTCCCACATTTGGGGAAATTGCAGGGGTCAGCACATCCTGAGTGCAATGCATAAGCTCCACCTTGGGAAATCCACCTTCATGATCATGCTATCTCCCCTGCCAGTTTCCCACAGGATATCATGTAACTGTTTGGCTCCTGGAGCGGGATAAAGCTCGGTTCTTGCCACACGAAGACGATGTAAGAATTCATGTTGCAGAAGCACAGTTTTGTCATCCAAGTGAGTTTTTATGAGGGAATGGAAAAGTTTCAGGTTTTAAAATCTCGAAAGGGCACATGCTATTTCTGGAAAGCGTGCCAGGCCTAGCAGAAGCGGCGCTGGTGTTCACAACCGGGCACAAAAAAACACGCAGGAAAGAACACCCACACATGTGAATTGGGGAATCCCCGGAGTCCAAGAGGCCAAGAGACCAAGAGCATGTGGCTCCCGAGTAGGCCTGGAGTGTGCGAGGGCACACACTAGAGGCCCTCCTTACACATGCCCCTGAGTGAGGGCTGAGTAAAAAGCAGCCCCGGGGTATTTAATACCTCTGGGGAGCCGGGTTGAAGGTATTGTTTGACCCCATTGGCTGAGTTCAGGCCCACCTGTATGATATACCTAAGGTGGGTGTGTCCAAGGTATTGTAAGACCCTCTTTTGGGGAGTCTCCTTGGTAATTATCGTGAGATGGGCCACCAGAGCTCGAATTAAAAGAGTCTTTATTTTTTGCCCAGACACTGCCTCTGCCCAATGCTTCAGAAGCAGCCTCTCTCCCCAATCAAGCTGGGTACTTATACTTTCACAATTCTACACAAAGGCAGTTAATCCATCTACAACTTTCACACAAGGCAGTTAATGAAGCATTTCCAGCACCCCTCTTTCAGGGGTTTGCTCCCTCACATTCTTCAGTTCTTGCCTGCAGCCTTATCTTGGGATGTCTGGAATTCTGCAGGCTGTCAGGGGTCAGGCTGAGGCTTTCTGTTTTGTTAGCAAGACTTGCCTTTCCTACGGTAATTTATGGGCATCCCTAATGTTTACAGAATCGAGATAGCATTGGTTAAGCCTAGACATGTTTATAGAGGTGATACATCTTTCCTTAGGCTTAGATGGGAATCTCATTCCCCAATTGTTCTATTCAGGACTCCACTCATCGAGTCTGATTCCTCTTAGTTGGTGTGCGGTTGGCCATATTTCACAGCTAAGGCTACAACTGTAGCGGTAGTTTGTCTAACAAAAGTTTCCTTAATTCCTTGTATAATTCTTTTGAGTATACAGGGCCCCAAAGTGGCTACTACTAATATGATAGGTAGGTTTATTGTGCCAACCTGACCAATGAACACATGAGGGATTAACTGAAAGGCAGAGAGATAAATGACTCGGCCAGCCTTGCCTTTGTTGTCTCTGGCTCTTTGATGATCAGACCAGTGTGCTGCTGCCTTAGCTGGTGCTCTGCCTCAACTTGCAAGCTACACTACCTGTGGGACACCCAACCCGTGGACTGTGTCGCTGTAGTCTGAGGTTCCTTCTAGACCTGCGTTGCCACACTACTGGAGTATATATCACTTGAGCTGGGGAGTATCGGATCCTGTCATCTAGCTGACTGTTGGTGACCTGCCTTGCTGTTTGCTGCCTGTGGCTAGATTGCCTGAATTGCCCTACAGAGGACTCAGCTGTCTGCTTCCTTGACTTGCACCTGGCGGCCCTCAAGACTTGAAAGACTGTCAGTGTATTACTGTCTCATGGAAGTGAATTGCACTGAGCCATTTGTACTGCTCTATAGACTGATTAGCTGTGCATTTCATATGTTGTATATATCTATCTCTATAAATATATATAAAGTCAAAAAAAAAAAAAGAAAATGCCATGGCTTGAGTCAGGTGCACCCTAGCCCTCAAAGAAGCATCCTTGCTTTTCAGCATTTTATGGAGGTCTTGTGCCACAGGTTTACCCAATGCAATGCCCTATTTGATCTCTGGACTGCTGCTTCTTGAGCATTGATTGTCGTTCCAAGTAAGATAAAACCCTTGCCAATGTCAAACGTTCCTCCATTTGATGTTATCTATTGATTAGCCCGGTTGTGAGGATTTTGTTACTCTTTACATTGATTTGTAATCCATACGGAAAGCGGCAGCCCTTGGCCTTCACCAGCAAATGCATCCTTATTTGTATACATATGACAGGTTGTCAATGAGCCTTTCTCCAATCCTGATGTTGCATGCTTCTCCATATGATCCATGTTCGCTCAGAATACACATTGAAGAATTATGGTGAGAGGATACAACCTTGACAAACACCTTTCTTGATTTTAAACTATGTAGTGTTCCCTTGTTCGGTG